ATTTCAAAATTAGAGACAGTTATGCACAAACAGCCCTTTCATTAGTCTTGGGCCCGGCATGGCCAGGTGGTTAAGGCATGACGGGGATTCGAACCCGCAACCCTCAGATTGCGAGTCGAGCACCAAACATGCTCGCCCTTTCAGCCGTGGGGGCGTTATAATATGACGGCCAATCCCACTATTCGTTGGTAAAAGAGTAGCCCAAGAGTTGGCGGTGGGTGGTGATGACTAGCTGCTTTCCCACTGCTAAATTAGGGACGGCTAGCGCAGATAGCCCTCGTGTAGCTTTGCGCGAAATTCAAAAACAAACAAACAAACAATCATTAGTCTTGCGTGAAAATTCTGAAACAAATGAACAAAACGTGTATAGTAAAGGGCCCGTGGTGTTAGCAATTTTGAAAATGAGGAGAGTGTTGAAGGTAAAATATACTATATCTACTTCCAAAGTTTCACATAGAGCAATTAACTTGTATTTTGCTGCTCTTCTTTTAGTGTATTAACACAATGCTGTCTCAGAACTAGGAGTAAAACCTGTAATAAACTCTAACAGTGTCACGCCGTGTCACTTTGATGTCAGATCGACTGAACTTTCCAGCCATAATATTCGAATTAACTCGGTCACCTTGTATCAGAAAATAAATCTTAGTAATATTACATCTCAAGGTTAAATCTGTCTTCTTATCTTTGGTATTGATTTAAAGTATATTTATCTAATGATGAACCCCAATGATAAACTCAATAAACTGAACAGTGAAGCATTATGTAGTGTTTTAAAAAGAACATATTTATCACTAGACAAAACATTAAATATGTGTAACTACTCGTTTGACTCTTTTCTGACTTAACATAGAAACAATTAACTTAAACATGTAATGCGATCAATGCTATAGTTCTAAGGGACCACGAGATCTCCTAAGATGAGTCCTTCCCTTGGTAATACCCTTGGTTCAACTTCTTCCAGATTCCTGTTATCCATTTATATTATCTTTATCCTTTCTTATCTGTTGTTGTCACCCTTCAACCCTTTGTCTGTAGTCATTAACAAACGATTCGGCATGGCCAGGTGCTTAGGGCGCTCGACTCGCAATCTGCGGGTCGCGGGTTCGAATCCCCGTCCCACCAAACATGCTCGCCCTTTCAGCCGTGGGGGCGTTATAATGT